ACCTCAGGTGATCTGCCCACCTTGGCCTCCCAAAGTGCTGGGATTACAGGCATGAGCCACCGCAGCTGGCTGAATATTTTAACATCTCCAATGAACATGTAAGAGCGCCTCACTTGATGCCTATCCCTTATTCAATTGATTTCCTTTGAAATGTTTATGTCCCCATAAAGGTAAATAATAATGAGATAAAAAACAAAACTAACCTCCCAAAGAAAGCATCTTTCACTCTTTTATATTCTTGGTTTGCAAGACATAAAAAGAAAATGATCTCCAATTAATACGGTCAGAGGTGGAGTTGATCTAATTTTCAGGTCTCATATATTTTCATAAGCAACATTAAACAAGTGCTTAATATGCTATCTAAACAATTTTTCTGGACCTTAAGAGCTCCCTGTTAGAAAGCTAAGTAAACAAATAAGTGTCATTATGGTCATGTGTGTCAGGGAGCCATGGCACCGAACCATTGTACGTAATACAATGAAAGAACATAAAAGTTAACATATATGATATATAAAATTTATGTTCATGTCTTAGAAAGAAATTACATAAAACCAATAGAAGCTTTGATAATTATTCGTGACCTTGTCTACTTAATTTTATATAATTATTGTAAGTTGGATTTCAGGCTTCTCCTTCTGCATCCTCAACACTCAAATTCTGTTTATCAGCTGCAGGCATCATAGATGCATCTCTTTCCAAAATCATGAATCTCACCTATTTAATGAACCCAGAGGACATTAACTTCATTAAATCTCCCAGAAGAACAATGAAGTCACTGAGATGTTTCATAGTCTTGGTAGAAATTCACTGGTGTAGGCCCATTTCCCTCATTCTATGACAGCTGACATTGTCACTTGCCTCTTTCTTTTTTTTTTTTTTTTCAAGACGGAGTCTCATTTTGTCACCCGGCTGGAATGCAGTGGCACGATCTTGGCTCACAGAAACCTCCAACTCCCTGGTTCAAGTGATTCTCCTGCCTCATTCTCTGTAGTAGCTGGGATTACAGGCACACACCACCACACCC